CCCACTATGAAATCAATGGAATCGTTCGTCCAGATCCTATAGGGAATAGGCAGGCAGTGCAGGAGAACAGGTCTGGGGGTGTTTTGGAGCTTTTGCTGGTGGAAGTCAGGACAAGAGAGGACGTATTCCTCGACTGAGGGGCTCCTTATATGCCACCAGAAGGAACTGACTCGTGTAGAGTTGGAGGCCTGCCACGGTGCAGCTGCACCTGACTGGCTGCGGCGGGCCTAGGCGGGCCCAGGGGGCGACGCCGGAAGTCCTTAAGGGCCTTTAGGGGTGTTGGTTACAGGGCTCATGTCTAAGAAACTGCGTAGAGGTGTCTGGTGTACACAGTTCGTGCATACATACTGGTCATCGCAATGAGCTATACCACTTCGATTAAAACTGTTTAGAATATTTTAAAAATTGAAAGCTTGGGCTTTTGTCCCAAAAGGGATTTTACTCTCCCTTTGCCTTCCTTGCTGAACCCGAGGGCTTTACAGCGACCTTGTCTTTTCCTCGCCTGCTGATCATTTAGGGTCGTACCGATAGCTTATCAGCATTGTGTGAATCTGCAGTACCCAAATATAGTAAGCATAAACTATTTGTAACTAGGAAATGCTGGCTTCGTACTGGGAACAGAGGATTTCACCAAACGATTCCTTGTCCTGTGAACTGAAGGATACTGCAGGCAGTGACATAGATGACTTTGCTCCTAAACGTGGTTTCCTAGCNTGTCCTGTGAACTGAAGGATACTGCAGGCAGTGACATAGATGACTTTGCTCCTAAACGTGGTTTCCTAGCCGAATAAGATATATAAGTCCCCGTTGTTTCTGTCAGTAACTGACAGAAACTTACATGGAAAAGCATAATCTCATTAAGAATGATCTGGGTTCCCCTAAAGAAAGATCTCTCGATCCCCATCTGCGTGCGTGGATGGCATCGTGTTTCCGTCCACCACAGCCGTAAGCGTGGGCCCAGTTGCGGGAACACACAAGGTGTATTCCGTATGCAGGAACTGTTATAAAACATGATTTCGTTTTTTGGTTTCTTCTTATTTGCAAAACAAACGCTCTTCGGCTGAATTGTACTACCACGATATGTTGTTCCGTCTTGACTGCGTTACGCTGTGCACTACACTCGAGGCACCACACGTGGGGACATGAATCAATGGCATTTCTTACAATTTCGGGAAAAGCACCTCTGCAACAACACAGTCGACTGAAAAAGTTTGCATTTGTTTCTGAATTACTGTTTGAAGCTGACGGTTTCGGTGTCTCTGGGGTTGCCGCCCCACTGCAACTCGATGCTGGTTCCCGACGAACCAGTGCACTGTTGTTCCCGCGGTGTTTGCTTGCAACTCCAGTCGCTCGACTCGATAACTCTGTGTACTTCTCTGATATTTCCACAAATATTCTGTTAATATTCTTTCTAATTGCACGCTTGCAGCGTTCCAAAGTTCCATTCTTCTGTTTTCGTCAGGATCGCTCTCAAGGTACAGCTGGTAACATNGCTTGCAGCGTTCCAAAGTTCCATTCTTCTGTTTTCGTCAGGATCGCTCTCAAGGTACAGCTGGTAACATTGCTCTTAGGACTGTTGCAGGTGAAAACGTCATCCAAACGGCATGGTTCCCGGAACAAAAGTTCCTGTAGGTGTTGTATAGAATCCTGAAATTCAAGAACGTCCCAGGGCTTGGCTCAGTCATCCAGTGAGAGCAATCGGAATTTCGTTCACCGCACCTGGTGATGCTGACTCTTCTAAGTGACACTGGGACGCACCCTTCCCAAGAATTGGTATTTCAAGATGCCAGCACATCAACGACTCATCCGTCAGCTATTTCTGGTCCCGCTTCGTCACCAGGTTTCTCTAGTGGGGGCTGCCGCCAGCGGTCGTTTCGATCTCATTCTGGCGCCTACTTCTTTCTAGCTGCGTTAGCGTCCATTGCAGCTGTTGTCATGCTCATAAAGATGTGCATTAAAGGAAGGGGGGGGTATCCACACGCGGGTCGCCGGCTGGCTGAAGACAGTGATTCCGACTCCGTCTTCGCGGCGACATGTGAGGCTTGGCTAGATGACGATTCTGAAAGTGAGCCTTCTGAAGAAGAACCAGATACCTCACCAGGCACAGCGTCTTCCAGTATTTCTTTAGAGAGCCCACAGGGAAAAGTTGAATCACCGGAGCAAGCCAAACGTAAGGCGCCTCCTGCCGGTGGACCGAGTGATTTGCGCGGCCACAGGATTTCCCCTCCTCCCCCTAAACGGGGGCGGATGGAAGTATCTCCCCCACCATCTAGGTTCCTCGAGCGTAGGGNCTTGTTCAAGAGATGGACAACGAGCCGCTTGCACGAACGCCTGCTTTAACGTCGAGGGCTTTTTATAATATGTATGCATCAATGTATATGTCAGACAGGGAATTAGGAACTGCTTTGAAATATCTGAGTCGTGTGGAATTTCCTGATGAGGGCGCTTCTCAGGATGTGGTTGTAGAACAGGAATACACGGGCGCCAACGAACAAGCGTGGATGAGAGTGGTGCGGACTGTGGATCCTACCACTGATCCGTGGAGTAATGTTTTACCTGCAGGTGTTTTTCTTCCCAGCCAGCTATGGGAAACAGAAGAAGCAGAACCGGGTCCTTCTGCAAAAGATGAAACTAGCAAATCTGATGTGCCCGAAACCTCCCCACAGCCAAGTACTTCTGGAGCTGGTGTCAGCAGCCAATCTGATGCGCCCGAAAAACGCGAACGGCCAGTTCCTCAATCGATTCGTAGACCCACGGCTTCGCAGACCAGCACTGCGGCACCGCTGTTGCTTTCCAGAGTTAACAATGACACGCACCCCTTCTTTCGCTTGCCTTCTGCGGATACAAGTGGCTACCGCGTGCATTTCAATCCAGATACATCTGCTCTATCTCGTGAGGGAGCTAGAATAGTGCATCCGTTATTGATCGAGGTGCGCCGTAAGCTTATCAAACAAGCACTGACTAAAGAGGATCTAGTGGAGTTGGCCGGTTTGGCGGAAAAACTTATGGCTAATTTACTCTTTTTCCACGAGTATGAACTGCCTTCCGCTCCCAGCCGACTTGTCGAGGCTCTGGGAAAGCGCTTTCTCGCATTGGATGCCCTTGTCTCCGTTCTCGAAGTCCTAGGAGTGGAGCGGCAAGG